AGCCAATGCAAGGGACGTCAGCTACCTCTGGCCAGGGTCCACCTCCAATTTCAAAGAGAACCAGGCAAGAGATCTCACTCCCTCTCTGCTGCAGAATCAGTGAATGTCCACCCAGTGAGAGTCCCTGTGGGTGCCAGCTCCAGGCTGGGGAGAACCTGTGGGTGCCAGCTCCGGGCTGGGGAGAACCTGTGGGTGCCAGCTCCAGGCTGGGGAGAACCTGTGGGTGCCAGCTCCGGGTTGGGGAACACTGTGGGTGCCAGCTCCGGGTTGGAGAACACTGTGGGTGCCAGCTCCGGGTTGGGGAACACTGTGGGTGCCAGCTCCAGGCTGGGGAGAACCTGTGGGCGCCAGCTCTGGGTTGGAAGAGACTGGAGTGAATTGATCGATTGATTCCACGATGTGACTCAAAACATTGCCTTGCAGCTTGCACTTGGCAATGGGTTGCCCAGAAAGGAATTGCTAATCCACGTGCTACAACCAAGTGGGACAAAATCAGTGCCAGTTATAGGACAACTAAGCTTGCCGTCCCGGGAAAGGGAGGCTACTTCCAAGTCTTCCCTGCCGATTTTCTGAGGAATTGGTCTCTGACGCCAATGTGACGGCTCCTAGGCGGGCTTGGCTCCCCAGCGCAGGGCCGAGGAGAACAGGTTGAGCTCTCCGCCAGGCGCCAGCCAGGCATATGGCTGTGCTGGGATGCTTCTCTTCCCTCCTGTCTTAGTGCCTTGGCAGGACGGCGCCAGCGGCAGGGCTGGGTCACCTGACCGTGGCTGTGTCACATGACCGTGGCTGCACCATTCACTGCTGCCAGCCGGTTGGTGCTCTGACTGCCAGGGCTGGCTCACACGCCTACACTGAAGGGGTTTGGCATTGGTGTGTGATGGGGGTGGGAGTCCATAGAAGAAATCAGCAAATCGTTTCAATTACCCGGGGTGCAGGGTACTTGGAAACAGACCCCCCGAGTGTTATAAGCAAGCACCGGGACCTTCTTAAAGCGCGGTGGAAGGCGGCGTAACTGTCGTTATTCCATGAACAACTGTGTTTCCACATTAGCCT